GTCCTGATCGATACTGTACTTGCGTTTCCCCTCGTACTACAATTCGTACATGCACTGTATGCTACAGTCAGATCAAAAAAAGGCCATTATTCTGCCGTACTTCAAGTACGTAATATTAAAACTGATCCGGTATCACACGATAGACGATTATCGTACATATTATGTACTTGGTATACGGTGAGGGCCATTGAGCCAGAAGGCTGAGGGGAATCAAGGCGATAATGTTATTGTTCACGTGCTAAGGAAATCTATGGAGTTCGAGGCTACGTGTGAAAACAATGCGAAAGACCACACCCAAAAATTACGTACTACATAAAGTTGCTAACCATTTTAGAAATGGCCTATATATAATCATGTCCAAATTTAGAAACTAAGATGCTACTACTTCTCTAACATATTAGCTACACATACAACACAGTAACAAAAAGTTAGCTAAACAGATATTTTTAATAGTACAGTCTGCGAACACTGGTTGCCACGACGTAACAGCACCTCATTCTTCATGTAAATAGTTTGGTTACAATAAGGCTGCTATAGAAATCTCGCTTCAAACGGTGGATGAAACCGTTTAAAACTGCTAGGGCAACGACACAGATATCATTTTAAAACAAAGCATCTGGACTTTGACAATAGGTGCTAGTTAAAATGAACTTGTAGTACAATGCTTTGTGTCTTGAGAAGAAAATGTCGTCCATATCACTGTGTGTAAAGGGGGGGGGGGGTCAGCCATAATTATAGGGAAACGCTACTACTTGCTTAAAACAAATTAAGTCGGAGTAATTGCACGCACACAGATGACTGCAGTGATGTTGCTAACATGCCGTACGATTAGCTTAATCTTGGTGGAGATGTTCCCTTTAACCTCCGTACGTTCCAGTATAACATACAGTCTAGATTCTTCGCTACATGCGTTTTAGGATTTAAATCATTAACTACGTCAACTTCATGTCTTGGATATTAGGCTAATTGACGTTAAGTGCATTGTTTGTGCGTGTTGCTCATCGTATAGGTAAAACCATTTTGAGTAGATTGCGACAAACAAAATATCAAGTAGCGAACCTCAACATTGAGGTACAAACCAGTAAGCACCATAGTCAGTAGTCATCTTCTCAAGTGCGACGACACATTTGTCCGTGCAACGCACTTGGCAAATGGCAACGATATCTCATCGGGTACTGAACCTCTATGACTTATGCATAATAAAAAAATATTTTAAAAATTCGGAGCGTATTAGCTTAAGCAGAAGAACGCCAGGTTGGTGGGGTTATGCAGTGCTCGTTTCGGTATCAACCGATTAAATGAAGTAAAATAGAACATAGCTCGAAGATAAAACGTGCCTCGAAGGCTTATATTATCTATTTGTTACAAATAAGCATATTAAAATGAAAGTCGATAAGACAGATCGGTGTAATGCTCAAGTATCTAAAGTACAAAGGTGTGTACTCGACTCAGTCGAGTACACACCTTTAGAGTCGAGTCGACTCTAACAGCACCTACATTTTTGTATCTGGTGTTTAATATTTTTAAAGTATCTTAACACCACAAACAGCTAGTTATGGTACAGTAGAAATGCGAGCATGTCTGCGGAGTCTGGCATTTTTGGTTGTTTGCTACTTTTCCACTGGTATAGATTTTGAATGTAATTTTAGACTGCCATTTCTAAAATAGCTCTCCTAAAAAAAATGTTGGTTTTGCACGTCGCATTTTTTGGGTGTGACCTTTCGCATGGTTTTCACACCTCGCTCTTACTACCGGTATTGTATCCCGATCTCCCTATTTTTTTAATCCAGCGTCAAATAGCATAGGACCCACGTAGCTGAAAGTAAATAGTCTAACTGAAGCGCTTCTTTCTGACGTACTGGAAGGTGTAGGCACCCCAGTCGATGGTGCACTTGGTGGGCGCGCGTCAATCCAATCGTTTCATGACCTGCTTTGCGTGAGGCTAATACGTGTCCAACTCACCATACATGACGTTTATGCAACAGAAACTTTCTCATTTAATGCTGCACTGCAGCATTAAAAGAACTGGGCTGCAGCCCAGCTCTCTCAATCTGTCTCATGCTCTTTCAGTGGCCTTTATTAGAGATTTTCTATTTTATAACCTCCATTGGGCACCGATCAATACTTCATAAAATGAAGTGTAGCTTTCTACTCTCTTTCGGTTTTTGATCGCGACTGCGCGCATTTACTCGGGAGGTCCAGCGAGTGGGCGATACGCTGAGTTACATTCACCTGCTTGAAGATGTTATCCTTCACCTCTGGATGACTATGACGATCATAGTGTTTTACCTTAAAGTTGATGCTTGAAATTCTAAAAGTGGCCCGAGTTCCATTCTCAATTTGTTTACGATATGACAACTGCTTTCAAGTATTAAACAGTCCTAGCAAAGCTCATGATCTACAACTGACACGGGATAATCTGGCTAGTTACATGGAAAGTTCGTGGTATCCATTTTGAATGAGCGCCAAGTTGGCGCCTCATGGCCTCGGTCGAGTCGCTTTCATTTCGCAATTCGTTCCTCAAACACCAGGACTATTTCTACAGAACTCAGCAGAAGTCCCTTGCGATGATGCGTCTCTTTTCAGTCGTATTGCTGGTTGTTGCCGCATTTCTAGCGTGCGCCGCAGAGGATACAACCTCGATGAGGTTCACCCGCGGTTATCTTGATGAGAAAGACAGTGCTCCAGTTCAAAGGCTCTTGAGGGCCTACGACAACGGGAATGACGAAGAGAGAGCTCCTATTGGTAACGCCTTGAATTCTATTGTGACCAGTACATCGAAGGCCATCGACTCCGCTAAGCTGAAAGTGTTTTTGCTCAAGAAAAGTAGCGGGGACGTCGTCATGAACAGCTTAAAGTTCGGGGACGATGCGGCAGCTGCTCTAGAACATTCTAAAATGAAGACTTTGAATACGTACGTCACGAAGTTTAACAAGAAGAATCCGGACAAGGCGGTCGGGACCCTCACGACCCGCTACGGAGACGATGCTTTGGCGAGATAGTAAAGGTTCAAACGCAGGGACAGTCTTCAGCTGAGGTGGTGACGCTGGCAAAGAAGCTGCGAGTTGAACAAGTGAGTGCTTGGATGGACGGTGGTAAATCCGTCGATACAGTTTTCTCTTTGCTCAAGCTTCGTGAAGACGGGCATATGGCGCTCACAAGTCGGAAGTTGAAAGTTCTGGATGATTACATTGTGAGGATCAACAGCGAGAAAAACGGCCAGGAAACTTTGCTCAAGACCTTGACAAAGGGTTTTGGCGGTGAGGACAATTTGAGAAGAATTCTTGACGGAGCACAATACAACGCCTTTACACATGCGAAGGCCGTCGAGCTAAAGAAGCTTAAACAATGGCAAGGCGAAAATCTGGATCCAGCAAGTGTCATGAAGCTGCTAAATCTTGATAACGATGTGGGTAAGGCTTTGAAAAGCACAGAACTGAGAAGGCTTGATGAGTATATCATCAATTTCAACCTCAAGAACGGAAACAATCAGGCGACGCTGCTCGGGACGCTCACGAAGAAGTACGGTGACTCTGATGTGGCAAAGGCGATTGTGTCTGCAGTTAAGGATGACAATATGATCGCTAAACGTTTGCAGAACCAACAGCTTGAGGGCTGGTTGAAAAAGGACATGTCTGTGGACCAAGTTTTCAACGTTCTAGATTTTAAGAGCGCTGGTATTGGAGCTGTTATCAGCCGAAACGTGGACACTTTGGACAAGTACGTCATGCTATACAACAGAAAGACATCAGCAGACGAAACCTTGGTAGCATCTTGCGTTTTTATTCTCTTCAGCTTAAGCTTATCACTAAATTTACCATTTTTATAGTAAATTAAAATTGGAAATTTATGCATTGCGTAAACATACTTTAAGTATACTAAAACAAAAGGTACAGGTGTCGAAACAGTTTTCTACCGGTTTCCCATGGAAACAAAACATACGATCGGTCACCGGCTATTTTTTCATCGATCTAGCGTTTTTTTTTTTTACAAAAGCCAAATCAATTCCAGTAGCATACAAACAACAAGAAATTTAACCCCAATAAAAACGCACACTATGGTCACAGCACATGCATGAAGGGCACTGTGCTGGCGTTGCCGAACAGACCGCGCTACAGCTGCGACGTACCTTTAAAAGGTCTAAAACAAAAATCCTCAAGTATGAGGCGACGCAGAGCGCGTCACTGGACTACAAGCGTAGGTCGCTTCTTAGAGTAGGTGTCATTAGAGCAGACTTACACTTAAATAGCACTAGCAAATTGAGCAATCAAAAGAGATACGTAAACACAGTGAGTGCGCTTCGACAGTGATCATAGTAAACTCCGTATGTTTTCGCAAGCGTCCGCACGTGACACGCAGGCTGAAGTCGCTACCCCATAGGCTGAAGTTGCAGTCCAGCAGCACAGTAGTCCGTCCAACAAAGAGCACATCACAGTTGGCACCGCCCATCATCCATCGTAGTAGCCTTCGCATTCGTAGTCGTAGTCTAGATGTTCAGCGCCCGCTGTCAGCACAGATGAAGCGCTTGTTGGGTCGTAGTACAACCTCGCAAGCCAGGTACAACATGCCCGGCCTTTTCAGCACACCAGTAAACTTAAACATCCGGTTGCAGTAACGCTTGGCCATCGCGGTCGCTTTGCCTTTTCTCATTTGTTCTAGTCCTTGACTGTGGGACAGAGTTTAGTATCTCTCTAATCCGTTCGCACTGCAGCATTAGCAGTCATAGTGGGAGACATAGTCTCCGCAGTAGCCGCAGCAACAGCAGCCGTAGTATCGTCCGAGGAGACACCTCCATCGCATGACGAAAGCGAGTAAGCTTCACCAGCGCAAGTGGCTTGGTCGTGATGTCCGCGATCATCCGTTCGGTCTCAGTGTGCTGTGTCGTGAGCAGCTTAAGCTCCACGTTTAGTCTCAGCATATTGTTCTTATGGTTGATGTGCTTAGGCTTGAAGTGCTTTATATGCTTGGTGGACAGCGGAATTGCTCCCTCATTGGCACCCAACCATAATGACACTGAACGCTCCCCGGCCAGCTCTTTACACAGATCCGCAAGCCACAACAGGCTTTAACCAGCGAAACATACTCCGTTTCGCACGTACTCAGCGATTTGATCTCCTGCTTTCTCGACACGTATGATATCACATTGCCGTCAAGCGTGTTCACATAGCCACTTCTACTTCGTCCGTTCATCATTCGCACAATCCGCATCTGAGTAGCATCGTACATTGGAACTAGTTTCTTCAGGTACGCCGATCACCGATCTGTAACCACACGTTGCATTTCGATACCAAAGTATCCGCTTAGCTTGCGCGTAGCGTATGGGTTGTAAGACGCCAAAAACCTACCAATATGCCTTGTGGTATAAGCAATGTCAGACCTCGAAGCGACTGAAGCGCGCCAGCACACGGTACGGCATATGTTCCTTCATCGCAGGTACAGTGGCCTAAGCCAAAACAGTTGCCTCAGGAGTTGCACCTCCGTGGCAATCCGACATGTGGAGTGCTTCAAGACTTCCACCACATATTGATTTTGACAGTAGACAATCTGTCCATTTGGTCTGTTGATCAGGATCTCGACACCAAACCGGTACTCGACGGTACCCATCGTATTCACCTCGAAGGATTCTTGTAGTGTAGCTGCAATTATGACGCACAGGTCTTAGGGTCCCATTAGCAGTAGGACATCCACGTAGACAGTCAACAGCAGTACTCCCCCTTCAACGCATACATTCCATAGTGTATGTCTATACGTCTGTACGCTCAAAGCCCAGTGTAGCCAGCTTCGCATGTAGAGCTCGGTTTCAAACATTGAACGCCTGTTTCAGTCCATACCGGATCTTTAAGCGCTCGCATATAGTGCTCGGTCCATTAGCTTGGAGCCCGGTCGGCCGCTCCATGTTGTCATCTCGTCGAAATCTCCGTACAGAACCGCCGTCTTCACGTCGTACTGGGGTATCTCTTTGCTGCACAGCGAAGTAGATGACCGCACGAATATTCTCGAAGCGAATCACGGGTACTTGTGTTTCCCTGTAGTTGATGCCAAACTGTTGCTTGAATCTGTGAATGACGAAGCGAGTCTCGAACCGCTTGACGCGGCTACGCGGCTTTTCCGGCAGCACGTGTAACGTTTCCAGGTACGCCGTAGGTCCCATCCACTGCGAGCTCCACGTGAAAACGGAAAATTTAACTCTGTGTAGTCTTGACCCGACAGGTCGATAATTCTAGAAATTTGTAGCCCATCGTAGAGTGACTGTAATTATGCAATATACATATTTGTGCCCGTGGCTCAAGCTTCTTCTTTCTCTGTCTTGACTCAGGTAGTACTCGCACATGCGGAATGCAGTCCTAGGACCACATGATACTCGGGGCGGCTTCCGTCCGTACAGCTTCTCATACGACAAGGCCATTCCCAGCATTTTTGTCGAAACATACTTAGTGTAGTCACCAGGTGCAACAGGGCTTAACCCCGCAGCATGTTCAGTAGATGTGGCGTTCTTAGTAATGCTCACACGCAAGCCAACACACTCTGTCTGCAATCCCGCTCTCTTGGGGGGCGTACGCGTTCGTGAACTGCTGTAAGATACCATGCTTGACGCAATGATCATGTAGTTCGGTTCCAGAAAATTCACTGCATTGGTCCGATCGAAGATGCAACATCTTGTAGCCTTTGTGATGCGCCTCCAGCACCTTTAGTAGCTTCAAGATAAACTACGTAGCTTGCCTCTTCTTCTCGAGTAAGTAGACCCACTTAAATCTCGTAGCAACATTCATAGTGAACATGAACATAGTAGCCTTGCTTACCGTCTTTACATTCATCGTACATATATCCACAGCTAGAATCATAAGTTGTTTAGTCGATCAACAGGTCATGGCTTTGCTCACAACACAGGTAATTAATTCGTAGATGCTCAGATCTTTCGTGCTGACGTTTACCCCGAAACCCATCTTATCTGCTATTACCTGGAGCAAGGCCATGTACCTTTCGCCAAAGGGTGCAACCGCCCCATAGTCTTATTGTCTTCCACAGCTTGCTTAGCCATAGCCATGAATATTACTCCGGTTGCCTTCTCACTTCGCAGCCGGTAGATACGTCCCGCATGTTGAATGTTAGCATACTGCCTGGTTTCGACATCCACGCCGTCTTCTGATCCACTGAGCACTTCAACTTGTAGTTGCCTGTAGTGTGAAGGTATTCCATGCTAATCAAGTTGACCTTGACACTCGGTCTGTAAACTAAGTATTCAAGTATTGTAAAAGACGGGTCCAATGCTACGCTGGTAAAAAGTTCAATTCTAGTAGCAATTAGATAGAGGCGTGCGCACTTCTTACACCCGTACAAACGTTTGTTCACTGCGCACTAACAATCTCACTTTCGCGCCAAAATGACACCCTCCCCCATTGTGCAAATGACACGGCGCCCGAAGAACAAAAACAAAGCCAAGCTTCGAGGTCTTTTACGCCTCGGAGAGGCCAGCTCAGTCGTCGACTTGTCTGCTGAGCTAGACGTTCACCGAACAGCAATGTACCGGTCGATGCGGCAAAAAAATGCCCTTGCCAGTGCCGCACCAAACAAGTACTACGCCTCAGTACCAAGACGTCAAAACCTTTACGTTAAACACACGAATCTCGAGCCAAGGTATTTTATTTATTATGCATTAAATTCGGAATACTAGTAATTGTTCTAATAGTGTATGATTAAGACTTTTGTCGTGGATTACAAAAATGCGCAAAAATCAATCTCTCTACGTTTCGATGCAATGTCTGGTTCTAATGCATTCTAGGTTTGATGGAGAACTCTTTGCGAGTCGTTCCCGCGGTGCAAATATCGAGGGTTTGCGCCGCTTTCTCAAACGTAACAGGCTTTCTACCAGACGCATTACTCAGAAAGACCGCAAGATCAGATCCGACATGGAGGTAATGCTAGTAATACTGTTTATTTTTTAGCTTCTATTTCTTATTTTGTGTTTCAGCTTGTTGCTTCAAAGTTTAGCCACTCAATTCAG